AGAATTAAACCCAGCACCTCACATGTGCTAGGTGAGCGCTCTACTACTGAGCCACAACCCCAGCCCCAAGAGATCTCTTTTTATTATTCCTAACTAAAATTTTGAATCCTTTGACTAGCATCTCTCCAATCCTTCTTCCTTGGCAACTGACTTCTTTGGTTATCAGGCAAATACAAGCAAAACCACAAGGAGATATCATTATTCATCTATCAAAATGGATAGAATTAAGACTGTCAACATCAAATGTTGCTCTAACATAATTAATTCAAGTGTAAAATGGTACAATCACTTTGGTAAATAATCTGACAATTTCTTATAAAATCAAATATACATCTAACTTAAGACCCAGCAATTCTATTCCTAGGTATTTACCTGAGAAAAATAAAAACATATGTCCCTCCTATATATATATACACACACACACACACACAAAAAAAAAAAACTGTACAAGAATGCACATAGCAGCTTTACTCATAATTGTTCAAATCTTGGAGTAACTCAAGAGTCCATCAAGAAGAAAATGGATAAGCCAAATGTGGGATATTCATAATAGTAATAAAAATAATAGTAATAAAAAGGAAGAACTAGTGATTCACACAACATCACAGATATATGTCAAATATGCTGAGAGGGGACTTGCATTAGATTACTCACTGTGTGATTCCACAAAGATCAAAAGCACCACATGATAAAAAAAAAAAAAAAAAAAATTGAACAGTGATTGCCCAAAAGCAGAAGACTGGATTGAGGGACAGTGGGAAGGAGGTGATATAGAAACACCATGAAGAGGCAAGACATTACTAGGGTGAAGGTAATATACTGTATCTTAAAAGAAATTTAGGTTACACAGAATATATATTTTTCAAACATATGTATGATTTATGCATTTAATTTTCTATAAATTTTACCAAAAAAGAAAAACTCTATAAATAAATATTAGATTCTAGGCAATAATATATATGCTGTAGTACTTAATGGAATATGTATTGATATGTGAAACGTGCTTTGAAATATATTAAAAGAATAAGATGATAAATGGTAAGAGAAAAAAATAGAAGAATGCAAACAAAATGTTAATGGCAGTATCTAGATGGAAGTGTATGAGCTCACTAAAGAAATTTGAAAAGGAATTTCAACTCTGCTTATACCTTTTGATAACGTAAGTGAACAATCTTGGCTTTTACACTCATAAAATCAGCCATTAAGAAATTCAGCATTCTCAGTAAACCAATGACTAACTGACATTTGATTTATTGTAAATTGACTAGCAACACATAGAAAAGATATGCTAACTGGAAGAAAGAAAAGTTCAATAAAGTGATTTATAAATACATGGTATTGGGCTGGGGTTGTGGCTCAGTGGTAAAGCACTTGCCATGCATACGTGGGGCACTAGGTTTGATCCTCAGCACCACATAAATTACATAAAGGTATCATGTCCATCTACAACTAAAAATTATAAACAAATAAATAGATACATGGTATTAGTAGTAGTTTTTCAGAAAATGAAGATCATATCTGATATAAATAGCTTGTGCTTTCCCAAGGTTTTCTGAACCACCCCTTCCCATCTGGCAATAGTTTTCCTTCAAAATCCCCTTCTACCACTTGGAGACATTTCATTTTCAGCATCAATGAAAAAGAAATCTACTATGCTCCACTGCACATCACAGTAACCAATGTTAAAAAATTTATCGTTAAAAAATTTGGAAACTATATCCATAATTAAATGGTTATGGGAGAACCTCATAATGTTCAAGAGGCTATGACAGTTTAAGCAAAATAAAGGAAAACATTAACTAACTTTTCTAAACCGTCAAAACGGTTTGGATTTGGTCTCAATTTTGGATGAACATCAGCCAAACCAATTTGACCAATGGAAACCTAAATCAAAATACATAATTGTTAATATTTATATACTTCCAAAACAGCAGCTAAGAAAAAACAGTTACCATTAACAAGCATTTCTGTAGATTAAACAGGCACCTTTAGAGTGGGTTTCAGCTCTGGGAAACAAACCAAAGAACAAACAGAAACATTATAAAGATAATGGAACTCTAAGAGCAAAGATTTCAGGGGATGACAGTCTCTTTATAAATATGCTAAGAGATCATCTGCCTAAAAGATTTAGGTAGCCTCCAGGTGAATCAGTAGCTATCTACCTCTGATAAAATACACTGAAGTGAAATGGACAAACTACAGAATAATGTATATTCCTAAAACAAACTAAATCTTCCCACTCAGTTCATTTATGAAGTTAGTAGAATATTGATTTACAAGAGGAAATTATAGATGAGTCTCACACATAATAAATGTAAAATGTCCTAAATCAAATATTGCCATATTGAATATAATTAAAAGGTTTATTTCAAAACACATGGTTAAATTAACATTGGAGAAATCTACCAACTTAGCATATTAAAGACTGAAGGAGAAAATGATCATCTCAACAATATATGCAGAAAAAGCATTTAATAAGATTGAAAAACAATGCATAATAAAAAATCTATTTGTAATCCAGAAATAGAACACCCTTCACCTTATAAAAAGTGTCTGTAATAAGCCTTTGCAAACATCATGCTCAATGGTGAGACATTGAAATCATTCTGTCAGTTTATGAACACAACAGCGTTATCTCCATTCCCAACACATACTGCAAGTTTTGGCCAAGTCTGTATGAACATAGGCGTGCGCACACACACACACACAATATAAACAAACTTAAAAGGAAGAAATACAATACCATTGTTTTATTATCAATATTAATTGTCTTCATAGAAAACACCAAAGTATCTAAATTTTATAACTATTAAAGAATTTAGAAAGTTTTTTCTATATTAGATCACTAATACAAAAGCCAACTGCATTTGTGCATACCAGCAATAATGTTGGAAAAAGTAGTTTTAAAAAAGATACTATTTAGTTAAATAATTTGACTTCTCTCCAAAAATGAATCTATAAAACTAATGAAATTACCTTGAAATCCCATCAAATTTTCTCCCAGAAGTTGAAAAGCTGATTTTAAGATATATAAGGAAAAGAAATGTTCAAGAGTAGCCAAGGAACTGCTGTTGAAATAAAACTGGTGGGTAAGTAGAGGGCTGAGAAAACTTACCTTCAGATATTAAAAATATAAAGTTATATTAATTAAAACTGTAAAATGATAGTGGAATAAAGAGTTCAGAAAGGCGCGCGAACACACACACACACACACACACACACAGAAACCTGTTGTACTGCACAGGTGCCATAGCAGATCAGCAGAGAAAGGATGATTCAATTAAGAAATATGTAAGAATATTGGAAAAGTAAAATTCTACTTCTAAGATCATACACAAAATTCCAGATAAATTAAAAATTTAAGTGTAAAAATAAAAATATTTTAACTTTTAAAAGAAAATATATGGGAATATGCTAATAATCTCAAAGTTGGGAAAGATTTCTAAAAAATAACACATTAAAAAAGTACTAATCATAAAGAAAAAATATTGAACATTAAAAATTAATCAATTTGGAACACCCAAAAATACTACAAGAAGGCTGAGAAGACAAGACAAAAACCTAAGAGAAAATATTTGTACCACAGAGGGCTAACAAATAATTAACAACCAAAATATTATATAAAGAATTCCCATAAATCAATTAGAAAAAGACAATCCAATAGAAAATGGACAGAGAGAAAAGGTATTTTACATTAAATGGAAAGATAAATGGCTCACAGACATATGGAAAGGCACTCAACCTCTTTGGTAGTTAGAGAAATAAAAATTAAAAGGGAAGGAAGATACCTAAGCATTGGCTAGGACATAGAAGAATGGGACTCCTCAGATCCTGCTGCTGGGACCATAAACCGATTACTACTCTTCTGGAAAATATTTTGGCATTAGTAAAACTGAATATATGCATACTCCAGGGTCCAAAAATCCCATACTTTGGAATATACCCTAAAAAAATCTTAGATGTATATACCAGAAAACATATGAGAATATATTCTCTTACTCACTGGAATCAAAAGTAGACATTAATTCTGAAATGTATGATTAAAAATCTTATAACATCCAAAATTAACATTTATGGAGCACATAAATATTCTTTTCCAGGACATCTTAATCATTTACTGCTAAATCCACTAATAAATATCAGCGTTATCCTTTTGTAAACATAGAGACAAAACACATCTGACAGGCCAGTTTTAGATGAAGCATGAATGCCTTTTTGTTCACACTGACAAGTTTATGTCATTTAAACACCAAAGACAATATCAAGTGTTTATCAAAGAAAATCCCTTCTGAAGATTATTTCAATTTAATCCAAATTAAAAGAAAATAAAACTTTTATCCTTATCCTTGAGTGAAGTAACTTGAGTTTTAATATCTTAATCAGAAAATACACTGAAGGAAACAATAATATTTGAAAGAGCCTGATGTCCTGTGGTCTTCCTTAATAACTACCCATTTTCAAGAGACTATAATCTACTCCACAGAAAGCCTTTTACCAAGGATCTTAATCAGATTCTCAGAAAAGTCACACTTAAAATAAACAATATGCCACTAGATCCAAAACAATGTAGGTATTAGCAGCTATACAAAAGCCTCTATCTGATGAGTCATGTCTAAAATGATGAAAGTGTAAGTCTTTGAAGTGCTTTCTATTCAACCTGGAAAATATATAAAGGTAGGATTTAGCAAGCAGGTTGACTGGGAAACATCCTTGTCTGTCTTTATGCAAACATCAAACTAAGGATGGCAAAAATGAGTCTCTCTTCCTATATATTAATATTAACCTTTTCTCTGTTTTCTCAAGGTATTTTACTTTCAGCTTCCAAGTCCATAAGAAATTTAGAAGATGACATGGTGTTTAATACATTTCGGATGGGGAAAGCCTTTCAGAAGGAAGATACTGCAGAAAGATCAGTTGTTGCCCCTTCTCTGGAACAGTATAAAAATGATGAGAACAGTTTCATGAATGATGAGGAAAACAAAAATTCAAAGGTGAGTAGCTATGTGACTTGTCTTTTATTGTAACAGAAATGTAAATTATTTTTTTAAATCTTCTGAAAAGAAAAATTGACATTGTTATTTAATAAATAGAAATATATGCAAATAGTGACAATATGCATTAGTAGGATAACTGATGACAATTCATGTAAAACAGGTGGCTCTCTCATCCCAGAGAATATCTTTTATACAAAAGTTTTTTCCACCCCGACTAAACTTGTATCTAAGCTATTTTTAAGGAGTCAAAACTAGTGCAGAACATCTTTAAGTTGATCAATAAGGGCATTAAACAATAGTATCATTGCTCCATTCCAAAGACAGCTAAAACACAAATTTTCTCTTCACAGAACACAGGCTCCAAACATAATTTTGTGAGTCATGGTCTGCCACTGAATCTGGCTATAAAGCCTTATCTTGCATTAAAGGGATCTGTAGCTTTTCCAGCTGAGAATGGAGTTCAGAATACTGAATCAACACAAGAAAAGAGAGAAATTGGGGATGAAGAAAACTCAGCTAAGTTTCCAATAGGAAGGAGAGATTTTGACAGTGAGTAGTCTTTTAAAATTCAGTTCTTACATCTTAATACCATAAAAAGACCTCTGAATTTGGATCTCAATATAACAAAATCAAATAAGACTGATGTTCAATTCCAGTTGACATTAAGTGACTGTCAAAAATGTGGGAATAAGAAGCATGTAGGTATGATAATTTTGGTTTACTCAGAATTAGTTATAATAGATCCATTCTTGTTATTATTATTATTATTTCTTAGTTCTGTGTGATGATTGTAGTACTTTGAGTAATTTAAACTATTTTATTCTTCCTTCAGTGCTCAGGTGCATGCTGGGGAGAGTCTACCGGCCTTGTTGGCAAGTCTGATACCTGTTGGTTCACGTCATCTTTGGGGAAGAAAACAAAACCATTTCATTGCCAGTGGGAAGAAAACCCTTAATGTTCCTATAACTTGTATATTATTTTAAATGTCTGCTTTAAAAGAAAGTAGTGTTAAGACATACCAATAATCTAAATGATGTGCTTTTTCTGTATATTAAACTTTGTGAAAATTCTGCATAATTATGACTCAGTGGTGTTTTTAAACAATGCTTACCACATGAACCTTACGTTCACTTCAAAGAAAAATTTGAAAGCATCACAATTGACACCTTGAGCTTTTATAAATTAAACATGTGACTTTGGTGTACAGCTTTCCATATGCATAAATCTAAAACACATAAAAGACACAATCATAGTCTAAAAAATTGAGTTAACTTTGTCTGGCCAGTGATGAATTTGGCCTTGGAAGTACACTTTTTGCCTTTTGCTACTTTGGCTACTTCACTATCCAATTTATTCTGTGAATCGTTTGATGTTTTAGGTTTCTTAACATTTTTATGTTGAGGTGGTTCATTTCTGTTATCACAGAGAATATTTTCACCGTCCAAATCCACCTGTTTCCTTTTTGAGCTTTTATTTCCTGTCTGGCCACTTGATTTTCTTGATACTTTGTCATTTTCACTTCTGTCCAGATGAACATTTCCAGAACTTGTTGCAATTGTTGATTTTCCAACAGATGATTTTATACCCTCTGTTATGCAAGATGAAAAGGGGAAAGAAATCATATAATAATTCATATTATAACTTGTGACAATTTTAAAATAAATTTTAAAAATGGCTAAAGAATATTCAAAAATTTATGATTTACAATAAAATAATGCTAACCAATTAAATAATTAACAAACATAAGTACATTATAACATTATTTTTCATTCTGCCATACCACTTCTCATCCGTATCAATAAATATTTGTTTGAATTTATGACATTTAATACTTAAGTAAATTATATGAATTATTTTTTTTAATACATTTAGTTAAATCAAACTGTCCTATTCCTTTCCATAAATTTGTACTTAGATTTAACCTCTTAAATAAACTCAGGCCTTAAAAAACATAAGCCTTTACATTTCATAGCACTGTGCAAAAAATAATCTGGGTTTATATAAATTAAAACCAATTGGCATATTAGAATCAAATTGTTATTTATTTGTTCAAATAAAGTCAATCACCAGCAAGGTCGTTTTCCATATGAAGAACACATAAAGGTTCTGATGCAGAATTCATGTTATTCCATTTATCGTTGCTTATCATGTAGTCATCTTTATAAGTACAAGCAAACTGCGATCTAATTAATGTCTGAGTCATCTGGTAACAGAAAAAAGAAAAAAAAATACACAATTTATACTTTATGTTTTTATCTAGATAAACACACATTCTATAATGGTTGAGGTATAAAAACATTTCCCTTAAAAATTCTGTTATTTGGGTCTGGCGTTGTGGCTCAGCAGTAGAGCACTCACCTAGCACATGTGAGGCACTGGGTTCAATTCTTAGCACCACATAAAAATAAATAAAATAAAGGTATTGTGTCCAACTACAACTATACATGTTTTTTTTTTTAATTCTGTTATTCATTGGAAACTTTTGACCTTTTATGTTTTATAATTTGCAAACTCACTCTTTGCCATGGTTTGCATTTTTTTTCTTTCAGCAATATTAGCTTTATGTATATTTCTTTTTTTTTTTTTTTAATACTTGTTAAAAAATAAACTTTAGACTCTTCAGAGGTTTTTGTTACACATTCCTGTGTCTGGGCTGCTGCTTTGGAGAGTGAATTTTATTATAAGTGAAAAGAATACTCATATGCATAATCATAGAAAATACAAGTTCTACATTCTAAGAAATAGAGCACAATTCTTTTGGAAAGACAACATATGGAATTCAAAGTAAAGAAACTGAGGAAGGGAGAAATGATAAAACAAAAAAGAGAAATAAGAGAGGTCAAAAGAAGAACAGAAAATAAAAGAGCATGAAAAAAGAAATGGGGAAAGGCATTATCTCGTTTAAAATTTGTATGTGTAGGAAAACAAGAAAGATGATCAAAATGTATCATTCTAAGAAGATTCAACCAATATTTTAATAGTTAAAAATTCAAAATATTGGGGCTGGGATTGTGGCTCAGCGGTAGAGCGTTTGCCTAGCATGGGCGGGACCCAGGTTTGATCCTCAGCACCACATAAAAATAAAGGCATTGTGTTGTGTCCATCTACACCTAAAAAATAAATTTAAAAAAATTTCAAAATATGTTCTTGCATCTATCAGACATAAAATAGGAACTCCTAACTTTCTTCATAATTTGGAGAAAAATTAGAAAGATTCAATTAAGAATTAGCTTTGAAAATGAAGAAACTTTAAGAATTAAAATAAAATTTAAGAATTCAAAAGGACATAGCAAAAAAAGTAGTTTCAGAAATGTATTCTGCAAACATAAAACCACTGGGCTGTTTTAAAGATAGGAATTAATTTCAGAACAAAGTAGCCTATATATGTAATACAAATTTCAAAATTTAAGTTTTTCTGTAACCACTCAGTTATAATGGGGAGATTTCTCCAAATAATTAGAAATCATTTCAAATCCTAAAAACACTTCAAACTATAATAAATACAGTATTCTCAATATTATTTATTGATAATAAATGACTATAAAGTAGATTTATATATACAGCATATTATATTCAATAATTTATAGTATGTTATATAATCAAAGACATCAGTGTATCATTCTACTCAGATGTTGCAAAGATAATGGCAATAAAACCACTGACTATGGTTTAAGAAATTAGAACAGTCTTCTGTTCGGCTGTTTCATAAAGGCAAATTTTGTTAGGATAATAAATTTTCTATTTTTCTGTCCAGTAGGTTTGGGAGAACCTCTTTTTCCCAGATCACTAAAAATTATGTTTTATGTGCTTTAATGAGGCATTAGACAACTGTTGTCGTCTTCCACTTACCCACAAAAATTGCACACAAAAAATGTACAAGATCAAAAAGTTATGTTTTTTAAGAAAGCAAACTAGAGTTGGCTGCTGATAATGAATGGGTTTATGAACACAACTCCTGTTATATTATTCCAACCACAAGATTTCCTATAGTACAATAGAAAGTTTGAGGTAGCTCTTTTTGGACATAACCCTATAAATATAGAATTAAAACAAATTATAAAGCTATTAAAATAAGTTTTATGAAAAAACACACTCTATATTATATCATATCATATCATTGCTAAGTAACATTATCTGTGAACTTTTATTTCCATCTGCAAGACCAGAACTAATCATGGACATTATCTTTTCACATACTTTTTTCATTTCACCAGTTACTGCTTTATAGAGAATTATAAACTATTCCTTACAAAGAGTTACAAAAAGTATGATAAGACCTTACAGGCAAAGAGGTGCTAAGTGACTGTCTTGGATCACTCTCTCAGTACCTGCTGAGCAAAGGCACCTATAGGTACCTTCTTCCCACTACAAAATCTTCATCAGCAACACCCATAAAACACTCTAAATAAAAATACAATAATTATATTATTTACTACAGACAACTGATATTTTCTCAATCTCATGTTTAGCATAAACAGAAATTTCTTCAGCAAGCTTTGTTACTTTTATTAATTTATTTATTAATATACAATCTAAGTAAAAAAATCTTTGTTTTCTGTGTACATACAGTCGAAATTGGTGCTACAACTACCTGGATTTCCTCTCTTCAGTTCCCCTGAAGAGTAATGCTGGAGCCCTTAGTGACCATAGGACAGTTCTAGAAAACCACAGTTATGAGGCAACAGATTCTTAAAGTACAGAACAGGTTCAAATGAGGAAAAAAAATAATCACTTTATGAAAAACATCAATTATAAACTTTATTATGAAAAACAGCAATTATAAATATATCAAGATATGAGAAGGAAAACAATAGCTCTATGGTGGTGTTGGAAAAATTGCATCCAAAAGAAATAATTGAGAGTAGTTATACTAAGGGTTTTTCTTCTTTCTTATAAAAAGTTATACATAGAGAGATTTACTTTTCTCTGTCCTTTACAAAATTTTTTTTTAAATCAGTTACTGTTTATTAAGTTCCTTATGTGGTAAGAACACAGTATACAAAAGAGATAATGAGAATGGCTCTTATTAAGTTCCAGCTTTGCAACAGGCACACAGTATACAAAGGAGGTAACTAGGATGTCTTCTATAATTACAAAGACATTCTATTTATAAAATTTGCTGTTGACATACGGCTGGAAGGAATAAAAAACTGGATAACATACTCAAGATTGAAAAGATTCAGAAGTCTAGAAACCATAAGTAGAAAATAATAAGATGAAAATGGGTGGGGATAAACAAAGTCCTATATTTAGTCCAAAAATATCAATTACATATGTACAGGATGAGGAGAACTTGACTTGAAAACTATGTAGGAAAAAGAACTACAGATTTTACGTGATCATGAACTTAACTGAAGTCAACAATGTGATGTCCAGCTAACAAAGCACCACAGAAAGACAAAATGATAGTGGTGGGGGGGAGCACCTGATTTGTAGTCAAAAGGCCCAGCTTCTAACACTGGCCCTATTACTTATTAGATAGAAATCTTGGATAAGCCATTATACCTCTCACTTTTCCACACAAATAAAATAACACCTCACAGTATTGCCAGAATTATATGAAGTAAAAAACATGGATAGACTATATAACTCTAAGTTATAATGAAGATACTGTATAGTTATTATTGTAGTAACATATATGAAATAGGCATTCCTACAAAATAAGATTTGTTGAATTACATCTCCCAGGTCCAGGCTAATTCTAAAATGAACCTAAGAATGCAGCTAAAAAAAGAACTTATAATCAGTTTTTTTCATTTTAAATTTTAAAACAATGCAAGCTACATGGGCTTGTATTTATAACTTAAAAGAGATTGCTTTTTCTTTGTTCATAAAAGTTGGATTTTTCTGCATAAGATTAGTGGCCACATAGAATTAAGATTACTTCCTGTGGCAAATCTTCCAAATCTCTCTGTGTATTTGATTTGGAATCACAAATAAGCAAAACAATTCCCTCTTGAAAGTGCTTTTGAAGTACTAAACAACTAAGAATAATGTCCAGATTCATACATGGCTGTTAAAATCATTTTATGTTCAAGTCACATGAGAAAAACGGATTGAAAGTTTTCCTTTGTAGAGTGATTTCCCCCCTTTGGAAAGATTTCTATCCACAGTAAAATTGCAATGAACTTCAAACTTGCCAAGAATTGAAAAGTCTTTTTGCCACAAGCTCTTTTTAAATTGAAATTATTAGTAGGTTCCCAGTTTGAGGAAAATAGTACTTCACACAGGAAAGCCTGACTCCAGTTAAATTAAGATGAATGAGTCAAAACACAGAAAAGTCATAGCCATTCTGAATTAGCTGCAGTATTAAGAAAATAGAAGTTCTAACCTCTACCATACCAACACGTAGATTCTCAAGTTTGAAAATGGACATTATTCTCAACATACCTATTAACTGAAATAAATATTCAAATTTATCTTTTGATTCTTACATGATCACATTTTCAAAAGCAGAGATTTGGCAACTTTGATGGCATATGAATTTGTACATAATTCAAAACATTCATTCTTTATCTGTCAACTTTCATTTACTTTGCTAAATAGCCAAAAAAAAAAAAAAATCCTGACCTAAATAGTAACATTATCTTTTTGTGACCCTTCATTATAGTTATGCTGCCTCTATTTACTCTTTGGAGATAGCATAAACCTAAAATCTGACACCTGAATACAAATCCCTGCTCTCTTACTTACTAGCTACATGGGAAAACAATGCCTTCTAGAGTTGAGCAATGATCATCAACACAAGATGTCCCAAGACACTTAGTAGATACTCAATAAAATCCAACTTCATTCATTTACCAAAACAAATTCAGTCTTAGTCTAATACAAACATCCCTTCTTCACTCTAATAAATGATGCTTCTCATTCCCTTAGAGTCTTTGCTCAATATCATCTTGTCAAGGAGACCTCTATTTATCATCCTACATAAAATCAGAACACATGCAAAGAGCATTTTCTCCTTAGCCCTCTCCCCATCGCACTGATAGCCTTCTAACATACCATAAAATCTACTTGTTTGTTTTGATTATTATCTGCTTTCCTCAGCTAAAATATAAACTCCATAAAGAGTAAAACCTTTAAAGTTTGGCAATTGGTGGCCCCTCTGGTCCTCCTCTCACCACCTTGTGGTGTATCCCACCACGAAACCTCAGACATGCCCACCAGGAGACCAGACACCCCTCTTAAGACCTGCACCAGGTTCCTGGAATCCCTGGGCACTGGATGACATTGGCCTCTTCCTCCAGGTTTAAGAGCCGACTGTTATGACAAGGATGATGGGGAGCAGGGTACCCACAACAAGACTTCTGATGCTATGTTCCTTCAAGTATGAAACAAAGCTAGGTGTGAAGAGGGCATAGCAGTAGGCCTAGGCTAAGGCCTTCCCTTTAGTTCTTTTACCTCAGCTGCACAAATATGTGGAGAAGCTTTGTCCACCATAGCAGGGTGTTTTGTCTGCCCTGTTCACAGTTATGTCATCTCCAGTGTCCAGCATCAAGTCTGCTATACAGGAGGTGCTGAGGGTTGGCTGAATGAATTCATGAATGAAGAAGTAAAACTAAGATCATAACAAGGGTATGCAAGAAGCCATGAGGGAATAAAAAACATGAGTAAGCAAAAGCTCAGAGTTAGAAAGGCATATACAGAATAGACTCTGCTCTCTTCAACAGAGACAGAGGCAGCCACATCACACACACTGTAACTCACGTTCATCCTCTGGACCTGTCCCTCCTCCAGGCTTGTGGGGATGTCTACAGCCTCTGGCCTGGGAGTCTGGGGGTTTGGGTCTGTTTTTCAGAGGTTCTCACACCCTGCTCTCTGACCTCCTACCCTAGTTCATTTTCAAATGTTCTAAAAAAAAGGAGGGCAGCCATGTGCCTGAGGCAGGTCCCACTCCTCAAGCTGACTCACCTTTTCTTATTTATATGCAGTGTTAAGAAATGAACCCAGTGTCTCACACATGCCAGGAACGTGCGCTACTGCTGAGCCCCAGCCCCAGCCCCAGTCTCCTTTTCCAAATAAGACCACACGTGATTTTAGCCATACCTCCCATAGCTACAAAATCAAGCATATGTGTCCTGGGTAAAAAGCCTTTTAAGACACCCAAAAAGCTTTGTTGGTAGGTTGGTTCCTTTTTTACTTCAGTAGTGTTCCTTTATGTGGGCCAAAGTCAATCATCAGCTCATATCCTACACTAGCAAATAATACTAGGGGAGAAAATAGCCAACATCGATCTGCTCATCTCCCAAAGACTTTATCCTCTCCAGATGTTTAGTTTATTTACACTTCTTTGCTAACATAGCCCTGCTATGTCCTTTAAAATGTGTTTATATGATTATACTACAAATACTTATAACAATATAATAAAGAATTGACAAAATAATTATAGAAAACAACAAAATTCAATGATGTGTTCCATAGGCATTAAGTACTAACAACTACTAATAACCAACAGAAAGACAATAGTTAGTAATAAATTAATGAATTTGAGGTACATAGATGAAATATATTATAATCAAAAGCTTTGGCTGAGCATCTAATCCCAGAGACTCAGGAGGTTGAAGCAGGAGGATTACAAGTTTGAGGCCAGCCTTGTCAATTTAGCTAGACCTATCTCAAAATAAAATAATAAAAGAGGGCTGGGAAAGTGGCTTAAAGCTAAAGCATTCCTGGGTTCAATTGTCAGTACCAAAAAAAAAAAAAAAAAAAAGCTTTGCCATTTGGCCCAAGGAGCAGAAAGGGCATACAAACTATAGTTTTCTTTTTAGTTGTGTTTAGATGAATAATTATTTGATGATTTAAGGATAATTGTATATTTTATATAAAAATGTGTTTAAAAAATTAATGATTCTCAGCTTACAACAGTGTCTAACGCATAGTAGATACTCAATAAAAGTATATTATATAATTGAATGAATTAAAACCAAGTTTCTTTAAAAAGAAACAAAGACCAAGAAAATTTTAAATGCTTAAATAAATACATTATTAACTACTTATAGGCACAAATGTTTTATATGAGACAGTTCAGACTAAATAAAAATATAAAGAGCTGCTCTAGTCAAGAACAATATAAAATATCCTTCCCATGCTGATCTACAATTGTTTACATTCTGCCATTATATCTTCATTCAGGTACAATTTTAAATTACGTGGTAGTATAGTTGGATCTGGAACGTTTTCCAAAGGCCCATGTGTAAAAGTCTTGGTCCTCAGCTTGGCAATACTGGGAGTAGTGACATAAATGGGGCCTAGTGAGCAGTCTTCAGGTCATTGGGGACATGCCCTTGAAGGAGATAGTAGGACCCTAGCCCCTTCTTCTCCCCTCCTCTCTCTTTCTTCCCTGGTCATGGAGTGAATGGTTTTGTTCTGCCACAGGGTCCCTGCCATTGCCACCCAGTACCCCCACTACAGGCCTAAAAGCAACAGGGCCAATCAATTATGGACTGGAATCTCTGAAATTTTGAGACAGGTAAGCCTTTTTTCTTTACGTATTGATTATTTAATGTATTTGTAATAGTGATAGAAAGCTAGCACACAGTCTCTCAAGATTACATTTAAGATATTAGAAATGCAAATGAGAAGCCCATGTCTTATTTATTTTCCCATTCATTCAACAGATACTTAGTCAATATTTGCAATAACAACTGCTTATTTCTTTTCTTCTAGTAGGTCTAGTGAATTAAATAGCCAAAACAGATTAGTTAAGATTGTATAAAAGGAAAATTTCTGTATGTCAATCCTCATTACTCATTTTCTAATTCATTCTTACTGGATCATATGCAATGTATATTTACAATATGCCCCTCAACTTTAAATATTTATTTATTCTAAAAACAAAACAATATCATTTTCATGACAGTACACTAAATTGTACCTTATTTTTTTTCTCTTGCATTGACTTATAGATGCGTTCTCTTAGGGGTTTCACTGATGAGTTATTCACTTGTGTGGGAGAGCTATGGAAAAAAAAGACAAAAACTTATTGCTATGGTTTCAATGTTTATGTCCCTCCAAAATTTATGTTGACACTTAATCCCCAAAACAACAGAGGTGAGACCTACAAAAGTTGAGTGGTGGGACCTATAGAAGGTGATTAGGTCATAAGGGCTCTGCCTTCACAAAGGAATTTAATGTCCTTATCAAAAGGCATAAAAGATCCTGTTTGGCCCCTTTGGCCCCTCCACCTTTTTTGCTACATGAACATGCAGTAAGAAGGTGTCATCTGCAAGGAATAGGCCCTCACCTGTGAATACCAATGAATGTGCTGGCAATTTGAACTTAGATTTCAAGCCTTCAGAATGATGAGAAATAAACATTATTTACAAATGATTCAATGTAAGCTATCTTGTTATATGAATGAAGACTCTCATAAACCAAAGTAATTTACAAGCTAGTTTTCCCTCACTGCTCTACCTAAAAGTGGCTAAAGGATAAAGAACAGCTGAAGCTATATGTTTATAATACTTCGTATAAGTATCCACACCCCTATTTGAGAATCCTAATAATAATTTGCTCAATTAATTCAATAAATATGTCTTGATCTTCTAAATTTATTTCCAAGGCACTATACTATGCCCTTAAAGGGAATAATGCAACCTCTTCAGGGTAAATGTTGATTCATTCATTGACTCTATGTCCAGGTCTAAGGTCTAACTAAGGTCTAACTAAGGGAAATAAGATATCTACATACGTAAAAGTCAAAAGAGTAGGAAAATGAAAAAAAGGAAAACATAGAATTGGAAGGTTAGAGAAGGCAAAATGGAGGAGATCCTGCAGCCTGCTGTGTCAACCTGTATTCCTCAATAAATTAATTCCTTTTTAGCTTAATAGAGCCAAAACCTGAACCTCTTTGACTCAAAGATCATTATTTATATAAGAGTAAAGGGTAGTTTACCCTAAGAAAAAATAGTAATAACCTTACATTGACCTAAATTCATATACTACATTGTGCTTAATTTTATCATTTTGGTGCAGATAATTAAAATTTTACCTTACTATGGACTGTCTGCACAATGACAACTAAAGTGCTAATGTGAAATTCCCTCATAATTGAAACGAATACATATTTTGGCTGAGCATCTAATCCCAGAGACTTTGGCCACATGATTAAAGTACAGGAAAATCTCTTTTTAAAATGAACTCAGGAATTTGGTTTAAACAAATTCTACAAATAGAAAATTTTCCCTAAAAAATGATGTAATTTAATCCAACAGAAAATTAAAATTATCCATACTTCTACCTAAAAGCACATTTTGTTAAATAGAAAAAAGGTAAAAAGAGAGAGAGAAAAAAGAAAGGATCATTGTCTTTATTCTGCTTTCCGAGATTCCAGCACAGTGTCAGTAAAATATTCCTAAGAGAAATTTCCACTGTTAGGAGGGCATTTTTAAGTAGACTGTGGAAGAATTATATTGTGCCAAGACAGAAGAACTGTCAAGGAAAGATAGTAAGGAAGATAAGATGTAACGAATGAGATAACACACTGAATGAAAACCCATGAAGAAGTCACTCTTTAAAAAGAAGAAAAAAAGATACTGAGGCATGGGAGAGAGCCCCTGAAGCAATCGTGAATGGAGATAAGCAATTTCAGACCTAAAAACAGATTTCTAAAAAGTAGCTCCTATAGAAAACAGAAATGATCAAACAGTAGGATGATTCTATGAAATTTTTCTACAATGTACTAAATTTAAAATTTAAAATGGTTGTTCTAAAAATCATTAAAATTCCTAGAAGTCTATGTTTACTTAATTAAGAATTTACCCACCTATTGAGTAACTGACTTAATTGCTGTTAAAACTAGAGAGTATCTGCTATAGATGGAAATGTATCCCTCCAAAAAAGATATGTTGAAACCTTAATCCCCAGATACAACTGATTTGAAAATAGGGCTTTTAGGAAATAATTATAGTTAAATGAGATCATAAAGGTAAGGTATGATAGGCAAATTCCTAATCTGTGGCCTTAGAAGAAAAGGAAGAGGGCGATCTCTGCACAGGCACCAAGGAAAGGCAATGTGAGCACAAGCAAGAAGGCAATCATCTGTACCCAGAGAGAAAAGCCTTCACCAGAACCTGACAGCTATGGCGTCCCATCACACACTTCCAGCCCAAACAGAAGGCAAGTTTCTGATATTTAAGCCACCCAGTCTATGGCTGTCTATGTCAGAGAGGACTGAGACACCATCAAGGTCTTATTTAGCATATTTTTCTTCATAAGACCAGAAAATGTCAATTCCAATGTATACATGCCTTTTCCTATTCGCAGGGTGAACAGCAGTCCTTAGAGCTCAGACCTTGGGCTTGTTAACTTTGCTTTTGGGGCATATTAATCTCTCTCTCTCCCCCTCCCTCAAGTGTCTAATTCTTCACTAAGCGGAGATACTACTAAAAGGAGTTGTGAGGGCTGAGATGATTTAAGCAAAAGAATTGAGTCACGTTTCTGACACACGATAAAGCAAATGTGTTCTTAAATCAAAAAACGAGAATAAAAAGCAACACTGAAACTGAAAACACCTGCAATACTCTCACAAAATATTACCTCTTAAATATATAACCTCTTTGCATTTAAATGTTCAATCTCCCTTTAACTTTTGTTTTCTTTCTTCATACTTATTGATAGTTTCCAACCTTCCTACTATAAGCATATATTTCTTTTATAATCAATAAGTGTTTTCTCAAAATTTCCAGAATTAATATTTATACACATATGACTTCCATGGTACTTACGTAAAAAGTGTAAGAATAGAAGTTGCATTACAATGAATCGTGCTTTCGTCACCATATAAAAGCTCTGCTTTGTTTCTGGTAGGAGCACGGGCTGCTTCTTCATCCAAAAGAACTAGTAAAGTTTTCACGGTATCTCTGCCACAGTATGAAGTGTCATGGTTTATGGCATGAGATTTTGGCTAGAACAAAAAGCAATTTTAAATAAATGTAAAAATCGCCGCTACTAGGTTGAGTCAGCCACACTTTTCCATTTCATCTGCCACTCTTCTTCCTCTGTTGTTGAAGTAACAAAACATAAGCTTTGAGAAGTGGCTATAAGACATATTAATGTTTCTCCTCGAAGCCATACTATTATCAATCCTATCCATTTTTAGATGCACAAAAAATATTATCACCAAAGGAAAATATTAGGCTCTGATCAAAATAACATTCGAATCAGAAAAACCCAGCCATTCTCTATCTATATAATCTCAGCCCTAGGAGGTATATCTTCTCTCTTATACCAAAGAGTGAGAAAGTTTTGGAGATCTGAATACTTACCCCCATAGATGGCTGTTAAGATCTAATCAAATGCAAAAGTGAAAAACTAGTTCATTCAATCATCATTGATTAGTATATGGTACATTCCAAGAACTATGCCTTAAGCTAAGCTACAAAGGTGAAAATCACTACCTTCAAAGAACCCACAGCCTTGGGCATATTGATAAGATAAATAAGTAATCAACACATCATATTACAGAATGCTAATTGATATTTCTAATAAGTATACATACAATGGCGCAGAAGCATACAAAACAAAGTGGTCAGTGTACTGTGAAGTCAAGGATGGTGTCAGAGGAAGAGACATACAGCGGTAGGAGTGAGCATAGATAGCACTCTTGGAGACTAAGAAGAATGACAAGATGGGGAACAAAAGACTAGGTAGAATGACAAGGCTGGGGAACAAGATACAGGGAGGAAGTAACACAGGATGAGTCTGGAAAAGCTCTGTACACTATGCAAAGAAGTTATAAATCAGTCGGTTACACAGGTAAAATCTCTTGCTTTATCAAGCAAGCAAGTACAATAACATTACTTAGATTTTGAAAAAATCGATGCTGGCAATGTGTAAAATATATTTCAGGATAAGAATATTATCAAATCTGGAGACAGGGTCACAAATTAAAAAGCCAGTTTAGGTATGACAGGTCTGATGGTAGCACTAGAGATAAAATAGATTAAAAAGGGAGAGACAAGCCAGATGCAGTGTAATTCCAGCTACTCAGGAGGTTGAGGCAGGAGTTGAAGCATGAGTCCAAGAGTTCAAGACAGAACAGGCAATACAATAAGACCCCATCTCCAAAAAAGGAGGGTGGGCTAGAAAAACTTAGTGACTAGATAGAGGAAAAAAAGAGAATATATGATAAAATAATTTTGCAGATAGATATATGTAAACACAAACTGTAGGTTTTGATACCAGATTATTAACTGTATATGCTATACAACTCTTGAGAAATTTCTTTACTCCTCTGTTCTTAAACCTGGGTTCAATACCAGATTATTAATATCACACCTAGGTTTGATACCAGATTATTCATTGTATGTACTCCTCTGTTCTTAGACTCACTGGCAAAACAGGGGCCATGATAGTGCCAGACACACAGGGCCGATGAACACTGTGCCAAGATAACAAAGCTGCATTTTCTGGGCATCTACTGCCAGTTTCCCAGCTTTTACCAACAGGGTTTTGGCCTCCTTACTCTACTTGGCAGACTCAGGCTACCAGGTGAACTCTAATGTGCAGCTCCATGGGAATTAAAACAAATGGCCTATCACAATCTGGTACTTAACATATAGTTTCCATTAGTTTAATATTAACTTCCTTGAGTATTATTTGATTGAAATTTTTTAAATATTTTTGATTTGGTAGAAAACATAAAATTAAAAACCAGGCTGTTTATATCTTATTTCTTTTGCCATATGGAAGAGACTGGTGCTCTTAATTACCTGAGATTGTAACAGTTCCTATCACTTACAAAGATAATCTGTTTGTCATCTGAGGCAAACTAGTTGCTGGAAATGTTAACATATATGAAATAAATTAGGTGGATCCCAGAGTCTCCCCCATGCCATGCCTTCAAAGTAAATTTAAAAAGATGTATTATTATAGAGAAATAGCTACAATGGTCATCAAGGTCTGTGAATGAATCAGTAAATGATAAAATTAAGCAAGTTTATGTCTATATACTGGTTGTCATAATAATACCTAATGTAAACGGGCTTTTGTTAACTGGATAAACTGCAATAAATGAATTAAAAGGCATACTCCAAAATTCTGTTCTAGAGCTAAAAATATGGTAATCAATTTTTCCTATAATATCATAGGTTAGAAACTATTATATTTGATTACTTACATAAGGAAAATCAAGAAAGAAGTAAATGTTCTGGGAATATACAATTTAAAAATTGCCATGTATGGGGAAAACTGGTAGAAAAGAGGTAGAAATAACTGATTACAGAGATCTATATAAAAAAAGTTAATTGCTGAGGAGAAACTATTTCTAATAGGACTGTTGCTGTCCTGCAGAGGACTCAGTCTTGGAGTCAAAAGCCAGGCTCTTAACTTATATCTGAGTAAATGGAAAAATAATTATTTTATAAGAATAGTTACTGAGAAATACTACAAAGTATTTGTAGTATCCATCAAGAATCAGAAGCTTTTATTGTCACAAAGGGTACTGGAGATTATCCAATGACTTACTTTAACAATACAATTCTTCCCAAAGATGTTATGATTTATGCAAGTTGAACATAATCCTGTTGAGAAAATTAAATTTTCAATATCATCTTAGAACATAGGAAATGCACTCTTCAGACTTAAGTATCAGTAGTAAACCATTTCTAATAAATACAAGAGATGATGTTTTGTTTAGACACACAATGAAGAATAAAAAGCTCATTACCCGGGCAGGACTGATGTCAGGGGTGCTGACAGCTACAGCCTCTTGTTGAGAATTGATAATGTTTTTAATCCTCAAGTCCAAAGCCTGAGCAGCTTCCTCAACTGCTTTATAAAAAGGATCCCTGCTGTTCTGGCCTTTAGTCAGCTGCATCTTTATCACTGACAGAATACGACTCCCTGCAATGCTGAAAATAGAAATAAGATCATCTTTATAATAGTATTGCAAACAGCAATGTGCTTATAAGCTTGAAAATATAATTTTCAGCACTAATCAACACCTTTCAAAGAATTTAGCTTTGATCTTACAAATCAAACAGTAAAGCATTTAAGAAAATGATGAGAACCATTAGAAACAAAATGTTTAAAGTTTTTCTAGAAACAAGTAATTTCAACAAGTGACATTTTCCTTGATTTGAAAGCTGAAGGGAAATACTTTTGTTATACATGAAATGTGATTACAGATCAGACCCACTTATATACATGCAATATACTTAAAGTATGTACTTTTAGATATTACTAAAATAACAAAAAACAGCTACCTCTCAATGAACGTCTAGAATGTTACATCACTGTAATTTTGAAACCAGTTCGAAAAGTTGTTAATGTTACCCCTAAATCACAGATGAGAGAATTGAGTCTCATGAAGATTAAATGACTTGACTGAGAAAATCGTGTTTGGGATAGGAGAAGAAGGAGACTGACCTGAAATATTCAATATACCATTCTAATATGTGAAGGTTATTATATATGAACAAGAAAATTAAACAAGTTAGTACTAATAAAAGCAAATCAGAGACTGGACCAACTATGACCAATATACAAGTGTTTTTAGAAACCTGAAATGTTCCTTTATTCCAAGACTAAACCTGAAGGAATTTGGAATTGCAGCTCCTACTGTAGAGAACCTGCCAAGGACCAATGTGAGAGATATATAGGATGAAAGATCTTGGTCCATCCCAAGGCAGGAATTAGAGATATCCAACAATAGAAGAGGAATCTCACTTGAAGTCACAAGATCCTCATTCCCTGAAGCACGCCTGGAAAGTTGCGCAGTGCGGAATGGGAGAGTAGTCTGGGCTGATCATGGAGTCACGCTGCCTGAGACGAATGGCACTTCTGCCATTTGCTGCTGAGAGTATGCTGCTAAACTTCTCTTTGTAGTAGCATAAGGAAATTTTATGAATTGAAGTTTGCACCCTCACAGCTTTATTGCCAGGTATTATGTCTTAGAGAACAACCAAACTCCCTAACACGCACAGGATATATGATAGTTCACATTAAAATAACTGGTCCAGATAGAAAAGTTAAAAGAAAATCACAGAGAAACTTAATTTATGATGACAATACATTAGATCAGTGTCTCACAAATTTTCCCAATCATCAGAATCAGATCAGTTTCGTTTAAACATCAACTCTGGATCTGATCCTACTGAATCAGCATCTCCAAGGACACTGGATAGTAGCATTATTTAAAAAGCAACACTGGTGGTTTTTATAAGGCAAAGTGGAAAACCATTTCAGGCAAAAATTAGGTCTTTGAGAAAGGAAATCATAAATAATCTTCACATACCAATGTACACTTGACACACAGAAGAGATGATGTTTGTAAAGGAAATGAACATTATTCAATCTGCAGTTTTTAATAGTAAAACTCAATATATAATTTACTATTTATTTATATTATTAGTTGTAATACAATAGTGCTTAAAGTGTTTGAACTTACTCTACAATAAGTGTAAACACTCTGGGGAAAAGTCTCACTGAGCATGGTGAGAATAGAGGAAAATCTCCAAATACCCCAAACTCTCCTTCAGAAAGGAATGAACAAGAGCTGGAGTGGTAAGTGGTAAGTGGGAAGTTGTGAGTATAATAAAGCAGGAAGAATGAGGTCTTCCAAAGGCAAATATCTATAGAAGCATTGTGATCAGAATGCAAAGCCCTGGGCTAGCAACAAGTGGGATAGGGCAACCAGTGACTTTCACTGTCAGTCTGAACTTTCCAAAGGGGAAGGAGCTGGTGTGGCTTTTATTAGGTTAATTCTATGTACCTTATATATTTAAAGCTATTTTTCTGAAACTTTCTCTATCTAGTGAAGGTATAGAAATACAAGTATTTTTTATTTATTGACCTTATGATCAGATATAGAAATACATTTACTTCTTTAATTGTTAATTTACTTCTTTAATTTAATTCTTTAATACATTTACTTCTTTTATTGACCTTACATCCAGCAACACTGTTAAACTCTTCTGCTAATTTTAAAGTTTTAATAATTGTTTTTAGATTCTTGGAGTTGTCTACATATATAATCATTATCAAATAGCTTTATTTCTTCATTTTAATTGCTTTATCTCTTTTTTTTTTTTTTTTGGCCTTACAAACCTGAATTAGACATCCAATACTGTGTTGAAAAGAAATGAAGACAGCAGTAACTTTTAATCTCAGTAACTTTTAATCTTAAACTAAATACTAAAATATTTTATAATTAACTAGATCAACTAGGTTTTTATAGAAACCCTTCTATTAGGCTAATGCCCTCACTCGTATACACTGAGGAATCAGCCCAAGAGAGTAGTAATCTGCCTCTATTAGACCCACTCATGTTGGGCAGACTCTGGATTTTGTCCCCTCAGATTCAAACAACTACAAGAATAGAACTCCAGTTCACCAAATTCAGCAAACGCTCTCAAAATAAAGGCTGGTTTCTTTTTAACTTGCCTCTTTGGCTTTCCTCTTTTACATATTCTATGACCTGCATTTTCATTACATTTTCCTGTTCATCAAGGCTTTATTAATTACTGTTAATCAAAGGGTTGATCAGGGGACCTAGCCTGTCATATTTCTATAGTCAAAAGTCTGAGTAAATTCTAGGATAGTTTCAAGTACACAAGAACTTTCTTTTTCATGTGTTTTTTCCCCTTAATTTCCATTTAACAGAAATGAACTAGATAAAATATAGTTAAAATGAAAACATAATTAGCACAATATACTTTTTTTCTGAGAATTAATCTTATGAAAAAGGATTTAAAAAAAATTCAAATGGCTAATAAAATACAAAAGCGTGTCTTAGTGCCAATCACAAGAATTTATTAAAAAAATGTTTCAAATGATTAAAGAAAAAAGTCACCCTTGACCTTCTTTTCCCATGATCTCAACAAGAATAAAAATGGTAAATTTTAAAGATTATGTAATTCACTGAGAACCGTTTAGGAAAAAAATTCATAACTTACATTTCAGACTTATATTTGCCTAGGTTAACAATTTGAGCCCTGGCTAAATACCCCAAACACTCATGCTATCACTCGTTTATTACAATTTATTCACTACTAAAGCCATCCATTAGCTTTTTCAATATTTGCCATTCAACATAGTGGCTTAATTCAAACTTTGCCTCTAGAGCCTAGAAACTCGACAAGTTTTATTTGTTTGTTTCCTAGTGTTGGAGACTAAACCCAGGAGTGTTCTACCACTGAGCTACATTCCCAGACCTTTTTATTATTTTATTTTGAGAAAGGGTCTCACTAAATTGCTGAGGCTGACCTCTAACTTGTGATCCTCCTGTGTCAGTTTCCCATGTAGCTGGGATTATAGCTGTGTGTCACAGTACCCAGCCAGAAGATTTAACTCAAATTACCCCATGATATCTCTGCTATGCACAGGGGTTATAAAGTGAAGAAAACCTTTTTCTTAACTGTAGCTCCTGATTCGTGACTGCATCAAACCAGAGTGCTGGGGCAGAAAGAGAAAAATGAGGCTAATAATGAAAAGCATAATTTGATTCTTAAGTTCCAAACAAAGTAACTTGAAGAAAACACTGAGCAATAACAGAGAGTGACTGCCAATACTTGAAAGTAATTATTGATTATTCTTCATTCTACTAAATAAAGTGATCGTCTTTTCTGTATCATATTCAAAAATTTGATAACTGTTTGCTGAAATGAATTTTACCTTTAAAAAGTAAATTTGATGAAAGGCACCACATAAAATGTATCAAAAATGCTTCAGAAATACTTTAAACAAGAAAAATTTTAACATTCTACAAGCACATACTAAATATGTAATGCTGGTTTGCACTAAAATTGGGTAATAATCTTGAAAGACAGTAATTAAAACTTCTGAACAACAACAATTAATTTATATAACCTAAAATCCTTTAACTCAGGACTTTTTTTCAGGTAAAGGTATGGTATGCATTTTGCGGTGGCACCTACTGGCAAAGTGTAGAAATGCAGCCAACTACAGCTAAGATGGCCTCATGAAAAGCTGGCAAGAGTGATGAATGTGAGAATCAATCCCCCCCCCACCTTCTCCCATGTCTATTCCCATTCTTCCATGGGCTGAAAGGTGACTATAACTCCCCTATTACAAGGTCAGTATACAAACTTATCCTCAGATACAAGAGTTAAATATATTTTTATTTCCAAGTTTTAAGGTTGAGAGACAAAAAGGATAGAGACCAAGAGTGAAGACAGGCAGGAGTTTGACTGTATACAATTTTGCATACCTCACTGAGATTCCTGGGGCTTTACCCTATACCTACTATGCAATCATTGAAGGTCTTAGTCAAGGGCTTAACATTCGCTGCTTCAGGAAGATCATTCTGGTAGCAATAAGATTAACAGGATGGAGCAAAGCAAGACTGAAAGCAGAATGCACAACTCAAAGAGACTGGCAAAAAAGTCCAGAAAGAATTAAAGTCTAAAACAGACAGCATAAAGACTGGAAATAAGATGGCAGCTACAGGAATAGAGATGAGGAGAAAGAATATAAAAAGTGTCACAGAAGAGGAGTTGCTAGAACTAGGTGAACCAGGAGACAGAGAAAGGAGAAAGACTTCACTACTTTAGAAGAAGCACCTTTCCAGGGAAAGATTAAGATGTAGTTTGAGACATGTTAGGTTTCAGTTGCCTTTGAGGTACTACCTCAAAGACAGTTGAAGATATGTCTCTAAAAATCAGAAAAGAAGTCTGGATTTCACTGAAATATAGATTTGGAAGAATTTGCATAATGTAATGAAAGGGGGCTAGAAAATAAGAGAATAGTATCTTAGATGTTATGAGGGAAAAATAAGAGTTCAAGACAGTGATCATATATAAGGACTCAAAAGAGTCCAAAGACAATAACAACCAGATGATCACAAAAGCTCATAGGCAGAAGAGCTTTGGGAAACATCAAAGGGTGTGAGTTGGTCAAGTATAAGCAAGGAAATGAATAGTGAATGTCTGCTCTGTGCCAGAAATATTAGTAAAGAAAAACAATAAACCCTCAAAGAGCTTACTGCCTCCTGAGAAATGCACATTAAATAACTAGAAATAGCAAAGTATTGAAAAATAGCATTTTCTTCAAGAATTTGAGCTGTAAAAGGAAGAAGGAACTGGAAGAAACAGAAAAGATGGTATCTTGCTTTTTCTTATAATCTTTAGATTGTGGCTAAAGTCCAAGTAGAGAGAATAAAACAAAATAAATTACAAATGAAGCCAAATAGGTTGTCCACACCCCTGGGCAACGTCTTCAAGTTTACATAAAGAGTTTATCACAATGTCTTACACAATTAGCGTTCAATAAATATCAGCCATTTTTATTAGAACCATGCTATGGAATAACAATCAAAACCACAGGAGTCCACCATAATTGTAAGCATATACATTCCACTTCTACCCTCCAAAATTTTTCTTTAAAATTTATCATCCAATATATCTATATTACAAATGCAAGTCTAAGAGATTAAAAAAAACTCTTTTTCTAATATCACATATAAACAAATGACAGATGAACCAAAGATTTACACATTAGCAAATAAAAGATAACCAGTATAAAACAAAATAGAGAATTCATCATATTTTTAAATTTTCTTATTCATTCTTAGTACTGGTTTCCTTCAACACTAAATTAAAAGTTTAAAGGAATTATATCTATTTGGCTATTTCTAGTCTTCAAAAATCTGTTTCTTCCAGATAAAAATATTAATACTTTTTTATTAATCAAAGTTAGTTTGGATGTACTTTTAATTTTGGTAAAAATTTAAGAATGTCAGCAAGGCATACAATAATTTATTCATCTATTTTGCTTTTCCTCTCCATTGTTTGGCCTAACGCTTGATCATTTTGATATCTATTATTCCTACCTGTGATTTTGTGAAGTTTTAAAGATAGGCTAATAAGACAAATTTGTAATTTATGAAAAATATATTACCTTGGACTTGGTATTTCTCCAAGAATCTCATTTAATTTGTCAATTAAATGAATAAAATTAGACAGTCCCTTTACATGTTTCCTTAAAGGATCAGATGGTGATGGTGCATAGCCTTTCCCTCCAAGCTCTAATGTTCTAATAAAGGATGTAGCCATCTGTGAGTGGAAACAAAGAGTTTACTCATGTTTAATGATTAAGCAAAAAGCTACAGTTTACCTTTTGAAGCTAGATCTATGTAGATTTAGGAATACAGTTAAAATGAAGCACAATTTATGGCTCATACACTTTTCATTAACCAAAGAAACAAGTGCCAGGCAGAATTCACGCACCAAGGTTGGAGCAATAATGCCCAGCTCAGGTGGAGGCTGACGGGCTAAGTCAGAGAGTAAATTAAGGACTAAAGATCATCTTCACATTCATAAGAACAGGTCATTGACTATAAAGAATTTGTTGACATTCCTAAATTGATGTCAGACTCCTGGAACCATTATGAAGAACAAACTCGTTTTCATTGTCAACTAATCTACTATGAATTGTCTGGCAATTCAGCATTTCTAAACTTTTACTTTACCTTTCTTATAAAATAAATATTTAGACTAGATAGCCACTAAATTCCAACTACGTCTTGCATCCTAGACTATTTGACCATGTGTAAAATGCTTTTTCTTAACAAAGATAAAATATGTATGTGATGGTTGAACTTAAGAATGTCTCCATCAAAGAAAAAATGTTTAGTAGATGCATTTTCTAAAGCATTACCCCAAGAAAGACAAACTCTATGAAATACCAATAATTTGGGAGAAAGCTCCATGGTGAAATAACTTAGAAAATAACAGACTAAATAATCAGGTTAACTTCTATTTTAAAAAAATCTTTTTAGTTATAAATGGACACAATATCTTTATTTTTTATGGGGTGCTGAGGATCAAACCCAGTGCTTCACACATGCTAGGCAAGCACTCCACCATTAAGCCACAACTCCAGTCCCAAGTTAACTTCTTAAGAAGCAGACTTCTTTATGAAGGAACTTCTCAAAGTTCTTCATACATAAACATGCATTATGAATATATTCTCCAACGGGGAATATACTATTTCTAAAATTTATGGCCTTGGAAACATTTATACGAGAAGAATTTACCAGGGCTAGGACTCTATAGAACACATGTAGTTAAACAGTGCTTTAGAGAATTTCTCCCTTGCCAAACATGAAGAAAATAGTAAAAAATAAAAATACCATTGGTTTTCAAATACAGAGATAGAACATGAAATGATTGCTTAAAAGTTGTTTCATCATAATCATAAGAACTCTACATCAGATCCCTAAAGTTCAGGAACAATGCCAAGAATTAATAATTAGGATGGCATCAAATTAAAATGCTTCCGCACAGCAAAGGAAATAATTAGGAATATGAAGTGATAATCTGCAGAATGGGAGAAAAACTTTGCTAGCTAGTTTTCTGCCAAAGGATTAATATATAGAATATATAAAAAACTAAAAAAAATTTTTAAAAAACCCAATCAATAAATGGGGAAATGAACTAAACAAATACTTCTCAAAAGAAGAAATAAAAATGATCAACAAATATATGAAGAAATGTTCAAGATCATTAGCAATTAGGGAAATCAAAACTAAACTGAGATTTCACCTCACTCCAGTCAGAATGGCAATCATCAAGAATACAAATAATAATAAATGCTGGGGAGGATATGGGGAAAAAGGAATAGTTTTACACTGTTGGTGGAATTGTAAAGTAGTACAACCACCCTAGGCATGGAACCACCATATGACCCAAATATACCACTCCTCAGTATTTATCCTAAAGAATTAAAGTCATCTTACTACAGTGATACATACATACCCATGTTTATAGCAGCACAATAGCCAAACTATGGAACCAGCCTACGTGTCCATCAATGGATGAATGGCTAAAGAATTGTGATACACACACACACACACAAAGAAAAAAAAATGGAGTTTTATTTAGCCATAAAGAAAAACGAAATTATGTCATTTGCAGGAAAATGGATGGAACTTGAGAATATTATGTTAAGCGAAATAAGCCAAACTCAGAAGGTCAAGGGCTTTATGTTTTCTCTCATATGTGAAAGGTAGAGAGGGAAAAGGAAAAGAAAGGAGGGTGGGTGAAGATCTCACAAAAAAATCCAGGGGTAGGGAGGAGAGAAAGGAAGTGGAAAGTGCTGGGGAGTGATACTGGCCAAAATATATGGTCATATTGTATGCATGTATGAGTATGCAGCAACAAACTCCATCATTATGTACAACTATAAGGCAACAATAAAAAATGTGCAAAGAGGAAAAACAAACTCTATATCAGGGTTTATGAACCCACTGCTCAAAGAGTCTTAACACAATCATGACAATGTAACATTTCCATACCAAATAGATAGACATCTGTTTCTCTTGAGCAGCATGTTTCAAATCAGTGAAGGCTTCTCTTCCAAGTCCTCTATCAGGAATATTGAGAATATGAGCCAGAGCCAGGTCATTCTTTGAATTTACTAGCAGGCTTAAATATGAAAAGATAACTTTCTTTGCTAGTAGCTGTACCTGTACAATAAAATATTCAGTTATTTTCTTTATTGCAGTTATTCTAAATATTTTCAATGTATAGTAGTACATATAGTAGTACATATATAAATATTTTCAATGTATAGTAGTACATATATAAATACACCACAGTGAATCTCCACATCATGTACAACCACAAGAATTAGAATAATGCATGCATAACATGTCGAAATATACTCTAGTGTCATGTATATTTAAAAAAAACAAATAAAAAGAACACATATGATGATTCAATCACAATACTTCACAGTTCTTTAGGAAATGAGAATTGAATATAAACTGAAACCTTAGGTTGCATAGTCAACATATTCTTTCTTTTGAAATAAACTCACTGACAATAAGAAACCATGAGTACATAGTAACTATTATAATTATTGGAAAATGACTGTTAAAAAATGATATAAAAGATACAGTTCAAATCTGCATTTCTAATTCTCTTGCATACATCAGCCACTAAATAATAGCCAATAATAAAATTTCAGAAGCTTAGACCACGAGCCAACTGACTCTATTTGTTCCCATAGCTACATTCCTTAAATGCCAGATTTAAGGGCTAAAGATAAATGTTTAAGTTTTGAGAACTAGTAGATACTGAAAATGAAGAGATTTAACTAAATGTTAAATAATAGCATTCAGTTGATGCTGATATTTACTGGTGTCATGCAGAGTTACAGACTATTCAAGCAAAAAATAAAATTAGGGAGAACTTGACAGAAGCATCAGGTCTTTCATACACACACACACACACACACATATACACTGATTATACTTGTCCTTTAATCTCAAATGAAAAACCAGGTAATTGAATAACCTTTATCATCAAAATAGCTATTTATAGGTATTCAGGACCTGGCAGCTTTTAAAGCTCACACAGCAACTATAAAATATTAGGTAAATTAAAAAAAAAAAAACAAAAAACATAACTGTATAAAGACATGGAAAAGAACCCAAAATGCACAAAAGTGAAAGAAGTAGAAAAAAAGTGTAATGATATTATGCCCAGAAACATCCTCAATTTGGAAAATATTAATTTATAGTTCCAAGAAGCTCTTCAAGTAGGTAAACATTTTTTTAAAAAATTACTCCTACACACATTATAATAAAACTCTAATAGCCAAAGAAGAGAAAAAAATTGGATGGCAGTCAGAACAAAATAATACATTACCTATGGGGAACAGGGATCAAGATAACAGGTCATCAAGAAATATGTAAACCAGAAGACACTGGATCAACATATTAAATATACTGGAAAATGATTTTTGAGAATTACTACACAATCGCAATAATCAAGATAGAGTAATATTCGGGAAAAGACACCCAGCTCAAAGGAATTGAACAGAGTCCAGAAATACTCTGACCCAGATATGGTTGTTAGATTTTGACAAAGTTGCAAAAGGATTAATAAAGAAAGGACAGTCTTTTCAATATCTGATGTTGGAACTGGTCATCCATAAGGAAACCAAATAAATCTCAACTAAAATCTTGTACCTTTCATAAAAATTAACTCACAGTGGATCATATATCTAAATGTACAATATAAAACTATAAAATGTTTAGAAGAAAATCTTTAAAACCTGTAACTAGACAAGGAAATCTTAAACATGATACCAAAAGGAAAAGAAAAACTTCATAAATTTTCATTCTGTTTTTACCATCTCACCTTCTGTTCTGGAATCCTGTTTGTTTCTAGTTCTTGGATGTTGTTTTCAGACTGAAATTCTCTTTCTTGCCTATTCCCTCAAATACTGCTTCATAAACTCTAAATTCAATTCATTCTCAAAACATGAAATTCATAAATCCTTCAATAACTTCAGTAATTTAGCTAAAGTCCCAGTAACTTATCATGGGAAAACTCTTAAGAAAATGTTTTCCTTATTCAAATTAAAATTTCTTCATATTCTGCCTAATCACATTTAAAATTTTTGAAACACAAAAAGAATTTTAAAAGGTAGCAATAAAAAATTATAATGTTACCTTTTCAGAGAGGTTTCCTGATTTCCTAATCTATAGCAGATACAAACTCTTTTATTTCCTCACCCTTTGATAACTCTGTATCATCCTATTATAATTATCTGTAGGTCTTATTATTTTCTGATATTTTGTTTATTTTCTTAATCCTTCCACTACTCTTGAGATCCATATCAGCAAGTGACATACCCTTAAAGCCTAAAAGAATATTCAGCATTATAGTAGGTAAGCAGTCCACTTTTATTAATAGGTCTCATCAGTTTTTGCTTAATAATAAAGAAAAAATAATGTATATGTTTGGTCCTTTTAAAACTTTAAAATTGAAATTCTATTAATTAAAACATCTGCAGTCAAATAAGTGCTTTTTTTTTTTTTTTTTTAATTACATTGCTTTACAAAGAAAATCTCTCAGGTCAACCACAAAAAAATCGGCAGCATTAAAATTTGTCCTAAAATTTTATAAAATAACGAATAATACAGTTTTCTCCTTATATTTCAAGTGTCTTTTAATCTTTATTTGCACAATGAATTGTAATACTATCTGTGGTCTATAATAGTAAAGCTTCAATTTTAATTTCATAGTGCAATGGTCTGTCTAAAACAAGACAGACAAATTATCACTTTGATATCTGGGAAGAATAATACTATTTGTCAAAAACCAAAACAGAGGAAAAACTGATGTTTACATTGCAATAAGAAACTTTTTAATATTTCCTACATTTAATTTAACATAATCTGTTTCACTGTACTCTACTATTCAAAAATAATCAAGACTTACTATTATGTATACTCCTAATCCTTACTGGGTACAAAATCAGGGTTTATGCTTCCACATTTACAACTTACTCTTTAAGGCTAAAAAAATTCTAAATTTCTGATCTGTGATCCTGGGCAAATATCAGGGAAAAACATCTTGGAGTCCTCACAGATGGAGTGTTTCTTTTAACTCATGGCTGAATTGGACATCTATCCCCATCATTATGGTCAAATAACATGGCAGTTATGGTTTCCCTGCTCTTGTATGTGCAAGTGGGTTTTAAAGAGGCTCTCTGTAAAAGCAGTCCACATGAGTACAGTTATGATGTCCAGAAGCAAGGGCTTAAATTGACAAAATCCACAAGACTGAAGCTTTTCCAAGATACCAAAAATAAGGATACTGTTCTATTTATTTGTTTAATAAACTGATTCTATCCATACCACAAAATATTTGGAGATTTGTTTAGAAATTGGGCAATTTTATTTAAGCTTTCTGACAGTTCCAAGTTGCTTTTCCTATCCCTTAATTGTTACTGAAATGCTGATATTCAATCTCAGTTTGGACAAAGTTTTTCTAAAATAAAAAAATTTTGCAATTTGTACAGGTATTTTTTGCCTCCTTGGTTAACACATACATGCTTACATTTGCCAAAATAATAATAATAAGTTGGATTAGAACAGATATACTGATAGAATTTTTTATTTAAGTAATGATTTGGGGGGCTCTTCATTCTTTTTCCCTTTATTACTCAGAATTCTAAAACAGTAGTTTAACACTTTAGGAAAAATAAAATAAAGAAACAAAAATATTGTTTCTTAAATTCATTCCATTATTCTATTTGAAGATTTTGGTGTAAGCAAATTTGGTGATCAAAATATATCTTGGCAAGATCATAGCCCAAAAAAGTAACTTTAGCCTTTCAATAGAAATATATTGACTTCCCAAAATACCTTCTGAAAAGAAAAATTAGAAACTTCAGAGCTGTCAATGTGGCTCTAACTTTAATGGCCCTCAGAAAATCAAATCCACCAGCCAATTAGTAAGATAAAATTCTCCTAGAAAAGACAGTCTCAGGAAGCAAAAGATTAAAAGCACAGGATTAACACAAAGAAACAAATTATGAGTTTTTTGTGAGTTTTCTTTGGTTGTTTTTGCTTTGTTTTGGTGATGGGCCAGGGCTTCAAACACAGGGCCTTGTGCTTATTCACTTATTCAGGCTACACCCCCAATCCCTATCAGTGTTTTTTTAAATATACGTACAATGAAGACCCATCAATTTCTCCATCATGGAAATCACTTTAGGATAATGTTTTATAACTGTAAGCTAAAATTCTAAGAGATTAGATCTTTTTACATATACAAATCAGCTCATTTCTCTTTTTAAAAAGTATATAAGAAGCCAGGTAAGTTTGCCCGCACCTGTGATCCCAATGGCTCAGGAGGCAGGAGGATAGAGAATTAAAAGACAGCCTCAGCAAAAGCAAGGCACTAAGCAACTCAGTGAGACCTGCCTCTAAATAAAATACGAAACAGGGCAGGGATGTGGCTTAGTGATCTAGTGCCCCTGAGCTCAATCCCAGGTACCAAAAAAAAAAAGTATAATAACAATTATTCTTAGATTCTCCCCTATAGAGCACCAGGAGCAAGACAGATCAAAGAAAAGGAGGCTGTAAGAGATCTCCCCTCCTCATACATGAATGTAGTTCTTAAGTGCCACTGAGAAAAGACCAGCCAATTTGGTAAGCAGTTTGTCAAGCTTTGGAGCAGAAGAGGAAAAAAAGTGAGAATGTAAGTGAAAACTTAATTTTAAGAAAATAGTTAAAAATCACTAAAAGGAACATGGTGGTCTGGGCAAGAAACATTCAAGGTGGGCTTGAGAGAAAAGAAAATGCTCAAAAAATCTAACAGGGCATAAATAAAAACTACAAAAATAAAAATCCATGACTCCACAGCAATCTACAAACAAAAAAGGAGAAAGTAGAAAAAAATCTTATTTGCCTCTTATGTATACCAATTCCCATGGTAGAGAATTAAGCATTAACCTTGACGTTTTAACAGAACCACACCTCGTCCCATTTAACAAGATAAAGCTTTTCTTTACTGAGAAATGGCAGGTAATTAATGTACACATGACAAAAAAAAAGACTCACCTTTCTACAAATGCTAAATATTTGACTCAGGCAAGGATCACCAACGCTTACATAAAACCATTAGGGAAACATTGTTGGGAAATAAGGTTATTTATACAGTGCTAAAGTATCACCCCACAGACATATGCTGACAGCAAAGGGAAAACTACATGTTATTTTTTATTGTTTTTAGTTGTAGTTAAACACAATACCTTTATTTTATTTATTTATTTTTATGTGGTGCTGAGGATCGAACCCAGAGCCTCGCATGTGCTAGGCGAGTGCTCTACCACTGAGCCACAACCCCAGCCAACCCGAAAACTACATTTTTATTTTGTAGAGATCTTGCAATCTGGGGCAGCCTGTTTGTGCCTTCTGAAGTGATACAAAATGAAATTCTCCACATCTGTTATAAACTATTTCTTATAAAATGTTAAGCCCAAACTTAAACTTCTAATTTCCAGTTTAATAGAATTACAGCAAGTAGCTGGGCATAATGGCATGTGCCTATAATCTCAGTGACTCAGGAGGCTGAGGGAGGAGGATCAGAAGTCCAAAGCCAGCCTCAGCAACTTAGCAAGCCCCTATCTCAAAAATAGCAAAACCAATAAAAAGGACTGGGGTGTAGATCAGGGATAAAGTACCCCTGGGTTCAATACCCAGTACTAAAAAATTAAAAAAGAGAGAGAGAGAGAGAGAAAGAGAGAGACAGACAGACACAGCAAATAAAAGAACAAGTTAAATATTACCAGAGTATTCATCAGATAATTAAAAAGGAAGAAAGAAAAAGATGAGGGGAATTCTTATAAATTAAGAGTCTAAAGAGATATAAAACCATTTTGGGGACAAATGCTGAAATTGGAGTAGAAAGGTAGTAAATTATATTAATGGGTATTTAAGTTTTCTTTATATGATAAGCGATACTGTGGCCATCCCTAATTTGCAAGAAGTATATGGTAAAGAATTTTAGAGATAAGTGTGAAGGATAGAAACAAAATCAGATATACATAAAAAAACTAAACTAAATTAAATCCAGAATGCAGGTATTTACTTGAAGGCAGTAATAAAATATGTTTTTAAAAGTACAATCTGTAAAATATAGGTCTTCTGGAAGAATCAATCTCAGAAAAGTTTTCTGAAAAATTAAGAAGGTAATTCACCAATGTGAATTGACTTAATGCAGCAGTTGGTTATACAAGTAGGTGCACTCTAGATCTTTTATACACCATGTTTTTAAAAGTATGTTAAATATAATTTTACTATTTTTCCCAATACTCTCTAACTCTTGTCAATGGTGATTTAATTAATCATAAAACTTCTATAAATATAATTCCCATGGTCAGTGGGGGTCACTACATGCAATTAGATACCTAGCAGCTGAAAGCAAGTCGTATTAGACCAAACCTGTATGTGGCTCTAATGTTCTGTGATTCGTTTCCACAGCAAAACCTGTGGTCAGAACTCTTAGTCGTAGGTAGTATATCATTTGTATTACTTCGAAGGATACAGGCCAGATTTTTCAATAAAACAATAAGAGACTCACACGTCTAAAACAGTATATGTGAGGTGCAGAAACTGATAACTGAAAGTTCACCTATTTTTCTGGTTCTTTGAACGATACTTATTTTTGCTTAGTGGAAGTTGCCTTGGCCCCAAACCATGAATAACCTGATTAGTATCAGGCTCTCTCTCTAGACTCCAATGTATTAATTTTTGCAAATAGTTTATTTCAACAAACTAAAGACTTATAAAAATTTTTAAAAAACAAAACATTAATAGCTCCAATGAACCATCAAATACATAGTGATTTGAAGGGGCTCATATTCTGCTTTAATTTACTAATCTATCAATACCTTTTCATGATCCTGGTTGTGTTTCACTGGTGACACTGGCATATAAAGATCATTTTCATTATCTCCTGCATGCTCTTTGCCACAGAGAAAATCCAGTAGTTGAATCTGCAGAAAATATAGGGTATTACTAATAAAAAAAATTCACACATAATGTCACTGATATTCCAGTGCAGAATATTACTTGATACTTGTTGGCAATTATTGACTATACATGGAATTCTTCATATGAGATATTAGCATGATATTCTTTTTCATATTTCATAAATCCTTCGACTTAACTAATAAATGATAATCTTGATCAAGGATAAGATTTGCAGGTCCTCTTCCTTCAGGGCATGGAATTAAAATTTTTGTTAAATAACAAACTTATATTTAAATTATAATTAAAGGATAAATTATAGTTAAATAAAGAAACTAGTAAGATTCATCATTATCCTTAAGAGTTCAGGAATTTTACCAGAATGTGAAGAGGCACATATGTTTTCTCATCAATATAGCCTGGAACTGTTAAATACTCATCATTAGCAGACTTGGGTCTCCCAGCTAAGGAAACTGTTTATTATAACTAATATTCATATTTAATTATGCCCTCATATGCATCTTCCTTGGAGTACTATCATTTTCATGTTAATTCCTCTAGATTTAACCTCCAAGTTTCTTTTCCTTTATTTCATAATCTTGTATTTATTCTGTACTTTAAATTTTTATTGTGCTTGAATAAAGAAAATGCAGTATATATACATCATGGAGTTTTATCTAGCCATAAAGAATGAAATGATGTCTTTTGCAGGAGAATGCATGGCACTTAAGGGGTGAACCTCATGCAAATAGAATGGAAATGGATAGAGGAAGGAAATCCGGAGGAGGGAGAAGAAAATGGGAGGTACTGACCAAATTATATTGTTTTATTATGTGCATGTATAAATAAATCTACTATCACATGTAATTATAATGCACAAATTAAAATCAGACAAATAAAAAAATTTATTGTCCTTGATTTTCAGGATACTAACTTGATTTTGAATTTATGTTTTTATCTTCTTTTTAAAAAATTCTCATAAAAATGGCTTATTTTTCAAAAAGAATAGGAGTTACTCTCAAGTATTTATCTGTATGTAGTTACACAACTTTTTCTGCTTCATACTCTCATGCTTTATTTGAAAAATTAACAAGCTTTTATCACTTTTATAAGCATGATAATTTTATAACCTGGTAATTGCTAAAAAAAAAAAAAGGGGGGGGGGAGGGGAATGAACCTGTGTAAGAGCTTATAGAGGAAGAATTAGCTCATAAAAGTCACAAAGGTGGAGACATCTTACACAAAGAATAAATTCTTATCATACTCAGAACATCAGTTGATGAAATGCTAGCCTGCATCTAATTCCTCTTTGTGAGCGATTTCATTCTCTCTGTTGAAAGCCTCCAAAGAAATGCAAGGAGAATGGAATTCTTGAGGCTGAATACTTCCCCCACACACACCTGCAGCTTTGAGAATAAAGCTTTTATCCATCTCTTAAAACAGAACACCCTAGACCTTACATGTCCCTACAATCTATTATATACTATTTTATCAATCCAGTCTGTGATAACATTTATAGGTAGTCCTTTTGATCCCTCTCTAGCAACAGGCTTTTTTTTTAATCTCCATGCCTGAGGAGAGCCAGCCCACCTGTCCACACACCTGAAAGAGGGACCCAAAAGCAGCAGAGGAAGGGTTGGGGTTAAAAAGCTTTTTGTTTGTTTGGGGGAAGAGAAAAACAAATGTTTGTGGATAAAGTTTGGGGCCGAGGGCACAACATGGGACAAACATTTATAAGAACAAAATCTTGCTTTGTATTTAGTAACCACAAGGTGTCCACAAAGACAGGTGTCTCTGAGACATGAGGACTTTGGAGGTTTGCTGGCAGTTTTCTGGGTTAAACTGAAGGGCTTGGGCTTCTGCTTCTGCCCAAGATGCTGGGCAGAGGCCAATAGGGTAAGATCTTCCCTAGGAGTGAAGAGGTCTGGTGGCCCTAACTGCCCACTGCACCTGTTGGAGGCCCAGATCATGCAAGGCCTCCTCTTTCTGGAGGTGGCTGCAGAGCTGACCCCTGCAGGCATGGGGGACCCATGCTCTGGATCTCCCTTAACAAAGGTTAGAGGAATCACCTGGTGGTCTCAGGTTCCAACTAGGGGCCGCTTCCTCAGGAGAGCTGTGTTTTCTGAGCTTTCTCAAGAAGTCCTTTCCTACTCAAGAGTTTAGCCCCAGAAGCTGGGCCTTGGGCTCCAAATACCACTTCCCCGGCTGCCCTGGGCAACTGCAGGTCGCACCCACCAGTGCCAGTGCAGTCCTTCAGCCCAACACCCTGATATATTCCCGGTGCCACACCACCCACGCTGAAGCCCTGCAGATGTGGCTTGTTTTTGGTTTGGAGTTTGTTGTTTGCAAAATCTAGGAAGTCTTATGTGTGGCTGCTATCCTTGAGTTTCCTTAAATAACTAATAATTATGTATATTCAAGTTGTCATTCCCCTCTAGCAGTTCTGTTCTGTTGGGCAGGTATGTTGTCAGCTGACCTATCCTTCTCTGGCTGCTGGTAACCTGTGGATGGTTTGTTGGTTTTCTTCACTGGCAGTTTGGGGCTCAGCTCTAACATGACAGCTCTGCAAGTAATGGAAGGTGAAATGTCTTCTATGGCACAGCAGTGGAAGAAAAAAAAAAAGAGGCTGTCAAAGCGAACGAAGTCCCATGTTCTCCCAAGCCTCACCAACAGGAAGCAAGCCCACCCATCCGCTCCTTCTTGCCTAGAAGGACAGGGAATCTGGGCATACTCACAGAGGATATTTTCTGACCTTGCTCAGAGGATCCAAAAGTCTCTGTGGTTAAGCTCTTCTGCTCCTCACCCCAGATCTGACGCTATCTTTCAGATACCCACTAGTTCATTAGAAAGCAAGCTGTTCACAAATCTCCACTTCCACTCCAGCTAGAACCAAACCTTGTCTGCTTCCAGATGCCTATGGCGCTGCAACCATGGTCCTCAGGAGAGGAATTATAAACCAGAAAACGAAGGTGAAAGGGGAATGCTTCAAGTTTACAGGTTGCTGTCTTAGCTTTATCCTAATTCCTCATAATTCCTGCCTTATTTAAGCTATAATAAGAAGCAAATAAATTTTCAGAATCATTTGGAATAGTCTAATATATAAGTTTAAAGGCACTTAAGCATAAATTAGTGTTATATTTAGTACATTTTTGAGAAATACATCTGTCCATTTTTTCCTCACTAGAAATTTCCTTAGAGCAAGCATAGATATCAAAGACCAAACTACTAATGTTTCAGAGTTTAAATATACAAAATTTCTTCATGCACTACATTTTAGCAGTTTCAATTTTCATTCCTGGTGTCCTTCAAGGGAGATATGTTACTATTTGGAGACCACCTCCCTCACAGACAACCCAAATGTGCACCTTATATATCTCATACTACAGGTTAATACACTCAAATGAGAAAGCTTTTTAGAGAACTCAGACAGGGGCAAGGCACAGGATGAAAACAATGTGCCTAAAATCCTCAGTTAGATCACACTAGTGCTGGTTGATCTTCTTTCTTGTTTCTACAACTCAATGCTTATATATGATTAGCCTCTCAAAAAGAACGATGTTAAAAGTAGTAAAAAATCATCTCAACAAGCAAGCAAAAAAAGTACAACTAGGGGAGAATTTACTAAGTGAACTATCTCCACTTTCAAGTACCCTTACCACACTGTGGATGTGCATGTGTGGGATGAACATGCACGTGGGCAATACATTTTGAGGAAGTTACAAGCAAAGGCCTCCATGGAGCCCAGTGAGGCAAAGACTACAAACTGCCAACTCTCCAACTCCGTGATCTATTTTATCCTTGAATGTTACTACCCAGAATAATGACTATCTTCTCCACCCTCCCTCAGCTTGGAGTGCCCATGTGACTAACCAAAATGGAAGCAAAAGAGCTATGTCTCCCTAAAAGGAGATTACTGTTCCCTCTTACTACTTCCTGTAGCAAAGAATGCTGATACAATGTCTGGAGCTTCAATGGTCATCCTGAACCATGAGGTAGGTGGTCTTGAGGACAGAGGCCAAGAATTAAGATGGAACATGAGATGGGGAAAGCAGCATGACAGGAAAAGCCTGGATCTCTGATAACCATGAACTATCACATCAGTCCTAGTTACATATATTTCAACATCTTTTAGGAGTGAAATAAGCTTCCATTTTTTTCTAACTCACTTTTTTAGTAGAAGTTTCCATTATAAACAGCTAAAACAATATTACCATATGGAAATATTTACAAAGTATTCAAATTATCTTATAAAATATAGTAAACATCTTTTTCTAATTCCAGCTACACTTATTTAGCTATTACTACTATTTAACCACTGCTTTATAGCATTCAGTAAATCTTAAAGAGCACCTTCAATGCTTTTAAAAAATTAGATACAGATGAACATATTCTAAAAAAGGATTCATAAATTCTAATGTAAACAAAACCAAACTGTAAGGGATGCTACTGTATTTAATTTTTTAATTTATATCCTATTAAAAAATAACTATGGTTGTACAAAAAAAGAAGTCTATATCTCACACATATTGTCCCATACTATTCTCATAAGATAAATGACACTCCCATCACAAAATAAAATATTAATTAATCCATAAGAGAAAAACCATAATAGTCATTCATATAACATATACTGAATAAAAGATGCGCATTCAACCAAGAAAAAATACATTTTAGAAAAGCAATCCTTGACATAATTAAAAAAAAAAAAAACAGGCATTTGGTACTGATTTGTTACAATATTTTTTGATCTAATAAAAAACTGTTTTAGCAACCAAATAATAACACAAGTGTAACAAAATTTACCACCCAAATATTTCTTTCAAATAATAACTAGCTTTCAGGTACCTAAATTTTCCATTCTTAACATGATCACCAAAGCAAAACATTATCAAATTACTAGAGCTTTTGTTTTTCTCCGAGCATGTTACTAACCAGAACAAAGACTATATTCTCTGCCTTCTTTCAGAACCTTCCTCAAATTACTATAACTGTGTAACTATGATTTAATGGTGCATGTTTGTAATCTCAGCTACTCCAGGCAGGAGGACTGCAAGTTCAAAGCCAGCCTCAGCAACTTAGCAAGACCCTGAATAACTCAGTGGGACACTGTGTCAAAATAAAAAAATAAAAAGGGCTTGGGATGTAGGTTGGTGGTAACACCCTTGGGATTCAATCCCCAATACCAATAAATAAATACATATGGACATATACATATATAAAAGTAGCCTAGCTGAAATTTAGTTCTATTAAAATAGGATTATTTTAAAAAATACTTACGGGGGATATCATGTCATTATTTTCACAATTAGAAGTCAAAATCCTACATTTTTTATAAATGTCGATCAGATCTACCATATTACTATTCGTCAAAAAATCATCGTAAGTCTTCTTAATGTCCTCATAATGGTCAACCACTTCCATATCTTCAATGGGTAAGTTTAATTTCTCATGTAGTAAGAATTTCCATGTCATTAAAACATCACTGAGAGAGACTGTAAATTCTTCATAGTGCTGAAAGAGATGATGCCAAGAGAAAAAAAGGATAAAGTTGGGTGCCAATATATTCATTAACTTATAATTGAGATGGGAAATGCACATAAAATTTTGATGAGGCAAAACTTGCACACGACAAAACTGGCAAACAGAGTCATAGACTTATTTCCTAAATTTCACTGGATTTCTTCTACTCAGGGTCAAAGGAGGAGTGGGCAGTGATCAGTCCTTAAGTATTACTGACTGGGAAAACATTTGTTTCTGTAATCTTTACTTCCTTTTAATTTATGAGTTTTTGCTGTTTTGTTTTGTTTTACAGTCCTGGGAATTGAACTCAGGACCTCACATGTTAGGCAAGCCCTCTACCACTGAGCAACATGGATCTGCAGCCTTACCTAATATATCTTTAATCTTTTATTAAAAATTGCTAATGTCATAATGATTCCTACACAACACAATGTTTCAATGTCTTGAAAATATGGTCTTAGGAGTTTTTTCAAAATGATGTTTCATTCCATTAGCGTTGGAGGGTAAACAAAATATCAGCGCTAAAACCTAGGGCTTGAAAATAATTTTGATTCTTCCCTGTTTATAGACACACTAAACTTTAACAAATAAGCGTTAAAAAGCAAAAGTCAGGTTTTTTTCTATAGGTTCTCAGATGTTTCTAATCAGGCAAAATATTCTTTTGCTTTCTCTATTTTGACTTTCTAATTTTCCTGAATGAAATAAAACAGATTGTAATCTGGCTACAGTGACTTATAGTTGCTTAGAGACACATTAATGTTACCAACATGTTTGTGTGTCAGTATTTTATTTAACAACAAAAATTTATTTAAAGTCTCTTAGTCAATATCTACATGATAAATTCTCTCACTGGACATGCTGAAGGTTTTGGTTTTTAGGGACTGCATGCATTATTTTCCCACATTAATACTCTACATACTAATAACACTGACGACTAAAAAATGCCAGCTTTCATTCAGTAAAAATTTGTTTCTTTCCAACGTAGCATGAGTAACAAATATGTTTCAGTATTCATATGTGGTTTTGTAAAATGTAATATGTGCTACCTTCAATTGTTATGTTCCCTTAATATATTAGTAGTTTCTGCCAATACCAAGCCCTTTCCACTAAACCCATTTGAAGATGGGAGGATAATTAAGAACTGCATAATTCACTGAAACTAAATTGTTAACACCATCTTTATACAATGAAGAATAATAAAAAGAAATCAACACACCCAACCCACATTTTCTATATATTTGATGCATTGAAATCTTTATCTTCATATCTTTTTTGATAATCAGTCACATTTGCTACTTACTATCCAAATTTATGACAAGGTGTCCAAAGCTGTCTTAAAATAATTAACTCTACTTTTCCATCTGGAGACGACTAAGAAAATCATCCTGTTGTTCTTAGGATAGGGACCTATTATACCAGGAATATGAAAATTCACTATTGTGTATGAAGCTAGTTCAATGAACAACCAAAACAAATCAGTAATTCTCAAACCCAAACATAAGACAGATTTGTAATTTCCCAGCACTGCATCAAAAATTGGTTACTTAAATTCCCAATTCCAGAAAGCTTACAGTCCAGAAGATTTCCAAGTGGTATTAAATTAAATAAATCCAGATATTTAGAGTTTCAAAACTCACTTATTTTATCTCAAAAATTTCTAAAACTGTTGTTGGTATGACACTCTTCATGTTTAAAATCAATTAATATTTTTGCCTAATGTAAATGTACAATTTATTCACACTCTGTTGAATACAACCAGTTAAAATAAAACCATGAAAGCTCCGATCTTGTGAGAAAAGGTTTTGACTAGATTAACAGTGTTTATACTGGGACGGTAAAAACATTTTAAATCCAAATAAAAATGCACTCCAGATATCAGTTTTCATGATCAGGTGCCCACCATGACAGCATATTCTATTTTTCAAACCAGTAACAACTGATTGAGAGAGTCTGTGGTCAAATCAGAAAATGTTTTGGTAGGAGAACACGCCAGCTGGCTAATATATGAAGGAAGTTCAAAATGCTCGATTCTTTAATTCTCTGATGGACCTAAGGATTGTATTTCATAAGAATCAAATGAGATAGTAGAGGGAACTGGGACCAAAGA